AACACTGTTGTTGCAGATTAAGGGGAATCTGGCAAAATTCCTTGGGCTGCTGCCGTGTGGATCTGCTGGTAGAATGCAGTATGATAATATGTTGAATTTGGCTCATAATTCTCAAGAAATGCTTCCATAGACTTTGTGGGACACAAGTTTAGGAATTGGAATGGTTGTATGTGGGATGGTCTTGGGCTCACTGCTCTGGACAGAGCTGTTATTAGTGGTGTATATCCAAGATGGTTTGTGGTTTGTTTAGCCCTGTAAAATATCCATTTTGTACTACTGCATAGAGAGAAATAGGTCAAACGTACCAGTGTTTTAAATAGCTTGACAAGAGTCTCATCTTTGTTGTTGTAACTTTTACACTGCAGGCTTGAAGACTGATCCACCACTTAAGTGCACCTTTAAATTCTGCTTTCATGTAAGATACAGACCTAAACAACCATTTAAAATACTGGACTAACTGGGATAGGACTGACTAATGGTCAGATTTGTTGCTTGATACAATTTTGGGTGCTACATGTGGTAGTCTTCACCCATATATAAATTGTTTCACTTTGCTTCCGAGTTTGCCCCCAGGTAGGTCAGTAGGAGGATGCTAGTGCTTATGAGAACTAAATTGTAGAGAACTCATATTCTATGAACCTAATGCTGTTAGGCCACCGTCTCAAATACTGTGTAACACTGAATGTGACTGTGAAGTCCTTAACCTTTGACGTTGGCTTAGTACATTTTTATTGCTTCTTGAATTAAGTAATTCAAGGAGTGGACTTCATTCGTCTCCTTATACAGGCATCAGTCTAAGCTGTGGTGACTTCTGCAGTCCAGATGAGTGATGGTGGTAGATCTGATTTAGAGTTTAAGGGAGACTTTTTTTGGAGTAGCAAAGAAATCTTCTAGTAAATAGCATGTTCCAGTCCTGTTCTCCCATGGGAGGTTTCCATCCGATTGGATATGTGTGGTTGCCTCGCCATCCATCTGATAACAACAGCTTGCAGTGCAAGAAGATACTGTGAAACTTAGTCAGGTGTGGTCCTATACTGTTGTGCAACTCAGTCGAAACATGGGACTCTTAGTACCATTAGTACATTGCGTGTGTATCATTTTGAATTCCGCCTTCTGTGCATGTGCAGTGTGCTTCGGACAACAGGTCACCCACAGCAGGCATCATTAACTGTGAAACACTTATACTTCAATGGCATTTAAATAATTAATAAGGCTAGGAGCAAATTTGAATAAAATCAAACCCAAAAAACTCTTCTCCTCACGACTGAAATACAGCATGCCTCCATCCCCCCATTCTCAGGGCAGACATTACAACGCTTCTGTCAGTGTGGCAGACAAATATCCATTAAGGCATGATGAAAAGTACTTGTCTATTTAAGTGCAAATAAAGCAAGAGAGAAGCTGAATGCAGTACGTGCACTTCTTAGGGCAGAGGTTGACCTTTTGCTTGCTTTTCAGATGCTCACCTTTGCAAAACTGTGGTACGAGCTGTAGCTTTGGCCTGCAACAGAAAAAGGTTTCTGCTGCTAAAAAAGCAGATCTAGTTATGGTGGGCTGTACTGGACTTTATTTTCCTACTGAAAAGACAAAAAGAAAATAACAAAGTAGGGATGAACACAAATATGAGCTGCCTGAAAGAGCAAAAATGACTCCAAATATACTTTTTTGTGCATCATGTGAGGACAGGATGTTTCCTTTTTCTTTTATATAAAAAACCCAACAACCCCTAGTGATCTTTGTAGTGGTGGTTGTGTGTGTGGGGGGGGTTGGGTTGGTTGGTTTGTTTTTTGTGTGTCTCAGAATCCTGCAGGGCAACTCGTGATACTTGGTGATTTCATTGCTGAGTATGACAACTAGTCTCAATTTGCTCTGCAGATAGTCGAGGTTGCATTCTCTAGTTTATATCTAAATACTTCTTTCAGGAATCTCTTTCTTCTCTGTGGAAACAGATGTTGAAAGGGAGCACAAGAAAAAAAGTGCTACACCTTGTAACATTGCCTCAGAGAAATGTAGGAGTGAGAGGATGGAGCTTGTGTGGACCCTTACCTTGTCCCAGTGAGTGTGAAGAACAGGTGGCCTCCTGCTAGCCAGGAGCTCTTGGGAGGTGATCTGTGCTCCCTAGAAAGCAGTATACTACTTACTGACCTTATCCCAGAAATTAAACTTCCCTACCCATCTGTTAGAACAAGAAGCTGAGAGGAGAGTGAGGTAAAATAGGGGACGGGCCTGATGCCCACCCGAGTGTGTGTCTGCAGAAGGGAACTTTGTCCGCCGTCAGCCCAGCGCTGTGACTGGGTTGCGCTGAGCAGCACTGTTGTGAAGCATTGGTGCACAGCTTTGCCCCTAAAAAAATTAAAAGTAGAGTTGATATGCTTATCCTGACAGCGAGAGAGAGGACTCAGTACCCCTAACTTTTGTTTTATTAAGGGAGAGAGAACTATTCTGGGTAGCTCATGACTACCTGCCGTTGGTATCACTATGAAGTTAGCTAGTACGTGCTGGACTGCTACTATTTGAAGTATGACTTCACTCCTTTCTTGCTATTTCTCCTGCTTGTCGTATAGGGGCTTTCCCCCATAAAACAGAACAAACCACCAATTGTTTTTTTCACATCACATAGCTACTTGCAAGTAGAAAGCATCACCTTTATGGTTTTCTTGATTGTGTTTGGCTTTTATGTCTCTTAGTTTCTCATGCTAATAGTTTTAGAGCAGTATATTGAAATATTTGTGAGAGACAAGGAAAAAATACTTAAGAATTTTACTGCAACCTGTGCAAGTCGCCTAAATGCATAGAAGAAAGCTCATCTCTTACGAAGTACTCCTGGGGAATACTTGCTCTTCTCACCATCATTAATTTCAGCGGAGATGCGTGGATAAGGCTGTACAAATAAACACAGCTGCGGAATGTGACATAGTAAACAACACGCTGAAACCTCTTGGCAGAGAGTTATTTACCAGAGAGCCCAAATGCAACACTTAGTCCATGGAAAAGATGGCATTTAAAGTTTTGGTACTTTTGAATTTTTCAGAAGCAAATATTTATCCCTAAACCTGCTCAATCTAGCCTTGTGTTTACACATAAGGGGGCAGTGTGGTACTGTTAGCCAAGTGCCATGCAGGTGCACATTAGATTTCATTATTATATATTGCGTCATGTTTTAAGAAATGGCTTTGGCACTCTGAGCACAATTAGAGCTTTGTCACTGTCTGAGAGCGCTGCCGTGTCTGTACTGGGGAGAACCAGGTTGAACTGCTTCATTTCTTCTTTGTAAATCTTTTGTTTTTAGAGAGTTCCTTGCGCTATTTTGACTCTGTCTCGTAATCCCTTGTTCGTAGGCATGTGGAGGAGTGGGAGACAGTTGTTTTTTTTTTTTAACACTGGTATGGGGAAGTTCAAATCACATCATTTTACCTCCCACACAGCAACATTCACGTATTGGGAAGGAAGGTAATATTTCCACTGGAGCTTTCCTTTGCACGCCATATATAGGCTTCAGGCCCACTGCTGCCCAGTTTGGCAATATGATCATTCTTCCCAGTTTTCATGGAAAATGGTGTTTCTGATTTTACCAGCCAGTCTGAGTGTGATGATTAAGTGGCTGTAAGCCAGTGTATACGTGGGTTCTTGGGTCATCTTATTCCTATAACATGTTAATATTCAGGGTTAACGGGCCAGGATGTGATGGCACGTAGAGTTTCTTATACTTTTAAAATTATGTCTTGAGTGCCTTGCTGCAGGCTGCTTATGGCATTTTTCTCACCTATAGAGTAGCCTGGCTGGCTTTTAGCTTCATGCTGCACCTGACATGTGCTGTAATAATCCAAAAATGTGTAATCTGTGGTGTCTCTCTATATCTTCATCATGAGTTTCTACTTCATAATGAATCTTCAAAGGAGAAGCTTTTTACAAGTGTCCTCTTTATAATCTCTCCTATACAGGTAAGTGTTGCCCAGTAAAAGAACACAATATACTGTTTCATTATATCTTGTCATATTACCATGTTGTGTTACTATAAGGTGCTGTACAGACACAGGGCTTTCTTGTACAGCTGCTGTTTGTGTTTTTCTTTATTTGCTGGTTTGTCCTTGATGAAATACATATTAAGCTAATTTGTTCATGTGAATTTGCCACAATCACTTGTAAAAGGCTGCTGTTAAATTGTACATCAGCATACTGATAACTTTCTATAAGTAAATCAGCGTCATTAGACCGTACCCTGTATGTGACAGTTGAAGCACAAGTGCTATATCAGGTTGAGCAAATCTGCATTGCTGGTTAATCCAGAGAGAAATGACATGGTATTTTGTATGGAGTGGTGATATGCTAATGGTCATGACTCAAAAGATAAAATGATGACAAGAAATGCATTCCTTTTTATATGTGTCTTTGTGAATATCATTGTTTAATGTAAATGTGACTCGATATGAAATAGTTAACCAAAAAAATTCTCATGTGGTGTGTTACTATGGTATCTCTCACTAAAAACCCCTCCCCTCAAAATTTTTCCCTTGTTCTCTTCAAGAGTATGTTTGGGTTTTTTTTTTTTAGTTAAGATGGCCAATATTATAATGGTATCACAAGTTTTGAAAATTAAAATGGGTATTCTGGCAAAGTTATAGGTCTTAGCTAAAGCTATCAAGCTTTTTGGTTACTGGTTCATAAAGTTAGTATAGCCCTTTTTCCCCTTCCCCTCCATCCTAGCTGGCAAGTGTGGCTACAAGTATATTGTCTTTGGATGAACTGATTTGCAGCTTGTTTAATGTGTAGACAGTGCTCTTGCTTATTTTCTTATTTTCTTATTTATTTATTTAATTTATTTATTTTTGAAGCGCTTATTCAAGACCCACGGCATACTCCCAAACTTGAAGGAATGGATTTTTGGCTCCTGCCTGTTTTGAATGAAATCCAAAACAAATGTTTGATAATGCTTTACGGTTGCATTACACAGGTTGCTCTTTGTGATAAATAATTAACACCCTTTGTGTTCTTGATTGCAGATTTTCAAAACCCTGCCTGATGCCACTTTCCCTGAGCCAATCTCTATGTCAGTATCTCCTCCAAATGCCCCACCGAGGCAATCAAGAAGACAAGGACAACGTATTAAGAGGCCTCTGGCTGTGTACAATCTCTGCCTTGAGCTGGATGATGGTAAGATGTTAGTAGTAACTTCAGTCTTTGCAGCAGATGGGCTGTGTATCCTATCTTCAGTAGGTGTTTTCATTTCATGTTTCATTTGTATACATGTGTGCATGCACATGCATGTGTGTTTAATTGCTTTGAAACATGTAAAGAAGCAAGGAGAGTACGGAGAAAGGTAAGCATAGAGAGTACCGTCCTGTGACATTTGTTTAAAGGTAGGATGAACTGTCTTAAGCATGCTTTTCCCCTCTCAAAAAGAAGCAGCTCCTGTTTCTTTGGGGAAATCTCTTTGACCTCTATTGAAGATTACACAGCCATAAGATAAATGGAGAGAGAACTAAAATTAAAGCAAATCTTTTATGAGAAGAGCTAATGCACTCTACAGTTAAATTCATCTGGATTAAAGGCTCAGGTCACCACTGCACTAGAGAATGCTACTACTTCACTTGAATCTTTAATACCTTGATGTAACTAGCAGTAAATACTTGTAAACTTGCCTTACTGTTGAGAAGCAAAGAAAAAAAAATATCTTGCTTTTGCATGGAGTCTGCAATAGCAACATACAGTGAGGCAAAGGGTGTATAACATCTTATATATTCTGACTGTTGGCCAGAAACATAATCATTTTCCTGAAATTTCATTACTTGGGGGTATGTACAGTACTGAGAAGGCAAGTCAGCGCTCATTTTGTGTTACAGATTTTCTCCACCCCATTCCCTTTCTCCCTCCTAATGTTGTTAGTCAATTGTCTTTTCACATGAAGAATCATGAGATAAGGACACAAAGTCCAGTTGTCAGCAAGTGAAAATAAACAGGAAGATTTTGAACTCGTGCAGTAGTATGAGATTCAGTGGTGAAGTGGCATTAAATCAGTGGTTAACAGTGGTTGATTTCTTAAGGAAAGAGCACAAATACCTACAACAGCTGCTAAGTGCAGGTTTTAGAAATAAACTCAGGACTGTTTATTGTCTCAAAGCCAGTTTTACAAAGAGTCTGCACAAAATTCAGCATGCTTGCCATCAGGTTTAATTCACCAGAGATACGTAATCTCTGTGCCTTTTCTTGCATCAAATAAGAAACTAAATGCCTTAACTAGAAGGTGTTTAACGTACATCTGCTTAAAAAGCTTAAGCTGTGTTAATTTGAATAATATACCACCAAAAGCTAAGAAAGCTCTTGAGCTGTATCTGCAATAATAAATTTATCCTCATTTGAAAAACAAAACAAAATTGAAGCCACTCAGAGAATTGTTTACATCTGGTCTTGAATGTGAATCCCAGCAGCTCACAAGAAGCACCATAATTTCGCCAATTCTATGCTGCAAGGTGTGCACTGAGGACCTGACTTTGACCCTAACTCAGTAGATAGAAAGTATTTGATGGATTATTTTTATTGTAAGGTCCACAAATACAGTGTTACTGTTGAAAACAGTTATAAACATTCAGTTTCTCCTAAATACAGTCCATATTTTTGTCTAATTCTGGCATCTCAACAAAGAGAAGAACTGGATTTGTTAAAGGCTGTAATTGTTATATATCATACAGAAATTTTGTACTGGTTTGGGAGTTCTAGTGTGGTGAATTGCAGAATAACCTAATACGTCGTTATGTATGGAGGAACTGTGATGAAGGCTGCATTGCTGGAGGTGAAGTCACAGTTCCAGGATGGATGGCACTGAGTTTCAGTGGGATCTGAAAATAACATTTCCCCTTGTAACTTCTAAAAAAATTTAATTCCCTGTAGTGTCTCCAACCACTGCTGAAGGTAGCTGTATTCTGGCTGTTGGTAGGTCCCGACTACATGCTAATGCTTATTTTATTTCTGTGTAGCCGGATAGTTGTGTCAGTAGGGTAGTCAGTAGTTGATATGGTTGTTTGGCACGTGTGCAGTATACATGGCAATATAGTACCTTCAGCCCAACTGCATCGTTGCATTATCTGAGGAACTACCTCAATGGATACAGGGTGCGTAAGTCAGCCAGGCTGATTAATTATCTAGTCACTGAGTAGAGCTCAGTGCCTCCAAATACGCACCGTGGCCTTCAGTTACTTCGTTCTTTGGAGAGGGGGGAAGGAATAAAAGTGAGCCTGGGCTTCGCTCCATATTTACCTAGTTTCTTGGCTAACAAATGCATGTTTTATAACTGCTCTTTGGAAGATTTTATCCTGTGTGTGTTTTTAACAGGAAATTAAACATTAAACCCCTTCCCTCCCCCCTTTTTATTCACAATGGCATGAGTTAAGCAGCAGGCATAAGCCAGTGTTTTGTATTTCCTGGATATGACAAAATTATCATAATCTTGTTTTAAACAAAGTAGCTGATACATATTTATAAGCAAATATATTTGTAGATAAATATATCTATGAAGTTATTGTAATTATATACAAATATTTTCAATGCCTTGAAACTAGAAGTATGTTGGAGACAAAATCTCTCTGTGCTGGAAAACTTCTTGAGTGTGTTTCTTTTAGAATTGTTATGCAAACCAGGAAATTGTTAGAAAAGCGGAAACAAGTCTTTAACTATCAGCTGCTCCAGGGAGTTAACAGGCTTCAGAATCCAGTGCTTGAATTGGAAATGCAGGGTTTGCGCCAGCTTCTCTTTTAAAAAGCACGTTTGCAGTTGGGAAGCTTCTTGAGTGCACACAAAATGTATGCAGCAACCACCCAGAAAGGGCTGCAAGTGACATAAATATTGATAGATCTAATAGCTGAAGAACACATACTATGTTTGATAAAAATCTTTATTTTGCCTTCTAGTAATTAGCTGTACTGAGGTCTGATAGCACATAGATTTTCCTTGTACATGGCAATTAGATGATTAAGCCTATTCGCAAACAATTCAAGTATTATATTTACTACTGTGAGGATTTTCATTTCCTGAAAGACAAACTTAAGTCACAGATGATACTGTCTGTTTTTCTTTCAACTTCTTTCCTCTGTGGTAAGCCAGTTACTAAATTTTCACTCTGAATTTTTTTCGACATCTCAGTGTCTCAAGTAGAACTAGACTTAATGGGGAACTCTGAGATACTTTCATACGTGGTCTAAACCCGAAGTTCTTGCTTCAGCAAAATGCAGTGTTGTCTGAGATTTACATTAGGACAATTTCTAGAGTCTTCTTGCCTTCTAAAATGAAGATAGGGGATTTGGGTTGGTGTTTGGTTGGTGGTTTTTTTCCCCCCCTGGAAATAGCTTTTTTTCTTTTCTGTCCCGTCCGTTGTCCCGTCCCATTCTCCTACCCCTCTGCTTCTACTATCTGAATGAATTTGAGAGTGAATTAAGTAGCAATGCAGAAACTCCTATGGCTTTTAGTCTCAGCTACATACAAACGACTTTGCATTCTTTCTCTGCCTCTCTATGCAGAGAAAGATTGTTAGCTAGAACAGGGAGTTGTTTATCCTGTTCTTCTAATAATGTCATTGGGTCTTTATCTTCTATTTGGACAGTCAGTAGATATCAGAAGAGAGCTCTGTTTGTATTTCTTCTAGAGGGCAATGCAGAGTTACAGTTTTGTTCCCTCCCAATTTTATTTTAATTTTTATATACTTTTCTCATCTTGTAGCAAAATAAAGTTTGTTTTGTTTAATCTTTTTCTGTGCTAGAGGCTTAGAGATTATGTTTTGCAGGGCTACTAGAGCAACATGGCAAGAAAGTTCCGTGTAAGGTAGGCAGTATAATGCAGTCCATCCAAGATGAACAGAGAGGCAGCATGGGTTGCATAAATCACACCTGAACTCAGGAAATGGGTCTTGCGTGGCAATTTGTCCAACTACAGAACTATTTGTTTTCTAAACAAACCAAAATGTACTTCTTAAGCCACAGTGCTTGCTGATGCCTTATTCTATTTGAAGACACTCTAGGTGTCAAAATTTCTCATTGGCACATACATCGACATAACACACTAGTATCATATTGGGGGACTTCTTTGTTTTGTTTTTAAGGCTTTTCATAGAAACATAGAATAGTTTGGGTTGGAAGGGAATTTAAAGGTCATCTAGTCCAACCCCCCTGCAATGAGCAGGGACATCTTCCACTATATCAGGTTGCTCAGAGCCCCGTCCAACCTGACCTGGAATGTTTCCAGGGATGGGGCATCTACCATCTCTAGGGTCAACAGGATAGGTTTGTCCCCTATCCTCCTACTCTGGAACTCAGGAGGCATATGAGGTGTTTGTGATAGCTTTCTGCTGCCACTGTAGACTAAATATTGTATTTATAGTGCTTTAGGAAACAGATTCTTGTGTTAGAATTACAATAGAAGTAAAAATCAGGACTGCTGTTTAACCCTTAAAAACTTGGTGCAAACTTATATTACCTTCTGATGTATTTAGGGAAGCCAAAGTATGAATGGTATGTTAGTGTTGAATAGGAGTAGCTGGTTTTGGTTTTTTGGAGTGAGACAGTGTCTGAAATTGGGTGATAAATCGGGTGATAAATTGATTTGCATGAACTACTGTGTCATTCAATTGAATTACTTCATCAAAGTAAAATGTGATACATGTAATGATTGCATAGCTTCCATGCAATATTCCCTCTCCCTTCTCCTCTCATCCCTTTCTGCCCCAAACATGTAAGTAAAATCCCATAAACTTCATGTGGAATTACTGAACATAAAACCTGGGTGTTAGAGGAAGATGTGGATTTATAATAAGGAGACTGGTCTTCAGGGCTGGAACAGCCCAGAGCTGCAAGGTTGCAGGTGTGCAACCTGGCCTTGAACTCTTTCTATTTCTGAATCTGCTGCTTGGAAGTGTTTCTGTAACCTGGCGCACAGCAGGGGAAATGGAAAGAAAAGCAGCTACATAGGCATATCAAAAAGCCATAAGGGCTTGCAACACTTGCTTACAAAGCTATTGTTAACAGCTGAGGAGAACACACAGTTATGCTGTTACAAAATCGGTGCACTAGTATTAGTTGCAAGGGGAAGATCAGGATGATTGCTGTTTGCCATGTAGAATTTAAGATAGTTTGTGTTTCACCTTGCTGCAAGAACAGTTCCTGCAATTCTGTGTCA